GAAAGTGCTTAACAGACTTTTCACATCCCACTAAAAAAGACTACGTTAAACAAACGGTATGCAAAAAGCAAAAGCGAAACATCCTTAAACCCCAAAAAGAAAGAGTTATCTAATCTACCGCCACAGTTAAGTTGGCATTCGCTAGGAGATTTTGAAAGCAAAGATTTCAAACATTAGTCTTAAAAAGAAACAAACCTTATCCATAAGTTTCTTCATCTTATCAAATGCTAACATCCGTGAAACTGCACTTAATGTCCTTTCCATAATCTGAAGAAATTTGGTAGCGAATCCAACGAAAAGTTTACATAAAACAAAGTTGTCATGAAAACCAAAAATTCGCAAAAGCAGACAAGATTTCAAGTTAAAGAAAAGAACGTCCGAAGAAAACATACCGCAGCCAAGTCTGGTTCAAGCCTGTCAGGCTCCAATCTGGTAATAAGATCTACCAGTTTTCTCATTAACGCCTCAAGGCTACACTCTGACGCCACGTTGAAGTCGCTGTGCTTGGTTATAATAAACAACGAATCTGTGGCACTCCGTAGTGAGTTCTATGGGTAAATCAAAATTAACAAATCTCTCAAGTAGTCATTCGTAAATAAAAAAGAACAAAAATTTCTTTTTTTATATAAATGAACAAAGTAAGCTACCTTATCCTGATTAGCAATACTCTCCTGAATTATATTGCAGATGTTATCCAAACATGCAGTAGCTGTCTGTTCATACTCTAAGTTCCTATTTGGATCGATGTTTTCAACGCACGAGGAGGATGAAGAAGGGACCGCAGAGTGTGTTGTACGCTGAATGAAAAAACAACAACAATACTATTTCCTCTTAATCTTTAAAAATTAAACAACGACAGACTATCATCAACAAAACCTCAATTACCAATTCTTCAAGCCGTCGGACATCACTTAGCAAACTTTGTACACTAGATATACTGACATCAGTAGCAGCTGACATATGCGTAAAACGTGATATTACAGAAGGAGTCTGCAACTGTTATAATAATAAACAACCAAACTCATTTATGATTTCTTCCATTAACACCTTACCTGTTAGCCATGCTTCACTTCCATTAGTATAAAGACCATTTAATAAGCCAAAGAAAATTACGAACAATTTTTACCACAGGACAAATATGAATGGATCAACATTTGACAGTCTGAAGCTGTCGAGAAAAATTGTTTTTACAACACCCAACCTCTTAAAAATTTCTTAGAACTTTTTCTAACCATAAGTTGAAAAAAATATCGAAAATCTCTTACTGCCGATCCAGGACGACAGTGCTCTTGAGCTACGTTCATAAATCGATGATTTTTCATCCACTCATGTGTATTCATCATTTTTCGGTCTAACTGCGGGCGAGAAGGATAATTTAACCCAGCCTCAGCTCTCAGCATGTTCCCACCACTGCTAGAAGTTGGATTCTGCGGATATGGTATCCTCATGTCATAGCTAAACCAGTTTGCTATTAAGTATGAAAAATATGATAGTTAGTTTAAAATGATGTACCAAACTTTGAAAGGTGAAGAAAGCAAAACCACCTAGTCTTTGAAAAACTGTGTATCCTTCTTTAACAAACTATAAATTTTATTTCACAGTGAACTAAAACTTCAATTAAGAAAAAAAGCTTAAATTTCATACTTTGGTTGATAATACCCGGGAGCTTGATTCCGATAAGAATAAGAATAAGATGATGGAGGTTTATAACCACCCGCATAAGATGTCGATGGCATTTGTTGTTCGTAAACATACTGTTGCTCAGGTTGTTGGGAAGGATACATATCGCATGAGGTATTCATCTTCAACGGCTACAAAAACCTAAGGAATAAAACGGTCTTACCAAAAGATATCTCACAGTATATCACTGAAACGGTCGAAATAACTTAAAAATGGGCCAAGCAAAGAAATAAAAACAAAAAATAGAAAATGAAAAAACATCAATGGTAAACATTTAACCATGAATATAACTGTTGCCTAAGAATAACTCTCAAATCGTTGAATTAGGCAGAAAAAACAAGTAAAATAAAGTATCAGTTTTTTATAAAAAATAATAATAATAATAATAACAATGATAATATTATTAATATTAGCATTAACAATAATAACTGAAAGAACCAAATGAAAAAATATCGTTGCGAACGGTGGACAATAACGTATTCTTTGTTAAATATTATTGACAAATTTCCGAGAAAAAAAAGAAGCATGATAAGTATGGTGGCAAAAACAGACATCGAAATCATTGCTTACTACAAAACTTAAAAGTAAAAAGGAATTATCAACTAATTAAATTACGATAACTGCTGCCGAGTCCTTCGAACCGGTCACCTCTTATAATACGGTAAATAAATCGGCATTTTGGATTTCAAATTCAAACGCCTGATGTTTGCGCGGAAACTGAGACATAACGTTGGCGGTGGAGAGACCAGGCGACAAAGATGCATCGGTAGCGTTTCGTCGTTGAACCTGAATATCAGGCAAATTGCGCCAATGCAAAATTGCTTTAATTGAGGCGAAAAACGCTTCAATGTGTTTGTTCCCAGTGGTCGGCCATACAGTTTGAGGTTCTGTTCTGTTTTTGTTTTTAGCCACTGCTAGTTGTATTACTGCTGACATTTCATTTGTTGTATATATAGCTTTTTTTGTATTTTGTCTACATTTTCGTTCTGATCAGTGTTTTTTATGCTAAGATCTTTTAAAATATGTGTTGATATGACGAAAAAAAAGTCCTTTTAAAAAATGCTTAATGAAAAGATAAATTTTTGAAATTTGTGAATAATAGAGCAAAAAACTATTATCTGGACACTTGTAGTGTTTTGTTAACAGCAATACATGAAGAGTTTATTTATTTACCTATTAGTATTTACTCATTTACTTTTGTTTCAATTAAGATGATTTGTCAGCTGCTTGTTCTACAAAAAAAAAAATTTTTCAGCTATTAAAATACACGTTCAAAATTTTTGCTATTAGTTGAACTTTTATTTGGAAAACAGTTTTTTGAATTTTAAAACAGTTTTTGTTGTTAATATAACCGGAAAAAAAACTTGTGATACAGTAATTACGAGTGACAAATAATAAATTCGATGAAAAGACATAGAAAAAAGACTAATAAAGAGCATAGATTTTTTATGGATTTAATTTTTTTTTTTCGTAAAGTCCAAGTGTCTAATGCGGATCAGTATATTATAATTGTATAAATGTTTTTGGTATTTAAAACCGAATAAGCAGAGTTGCTGAGAAGAGACTAAACTTGGCTGCATAAACTTATCGCATTTGATGTGTAGTAGGAAAAAGGAGGAAAATTTTGGAAGTTCTTTTGGACGGACTTATGTACAATTCTGATACACATTAAACGTGATGTTCAAATATCTTATGGTAGTGTTTTTTTTTTTTTTTTTTTTTTT